CAGCTTTTGAAACTAGGCAGGGCGGTTCCCAACAAAAAATCATATACATGTAAATGTAAAAGCTATAAAACTTTTAGAAGAAAAATGTTGTGATCTTGGGGTAGGATTTCACATAAACAGAAAAAAGAAGTCTACGGCCATACCCGATCTCATCTGATCTGGGTAGCTAAGCAGGGTCAGGCCTGGTTGGTACTTGGATGAGAGAAAAAAGAAGAAATTATTTTAATATGGAATCTCATCAAAATTCAAAACTTTTGCTATTTTAGAAACATCATTAAGAAAGTGAAAAGACAGTCATAGACTAGATAAAACATTTTATGTACTCATATAGCAACCAAAGGACTTGTATCCAGAACATACGAAGAACTCTTAAATCCTTACCCCACAAAAAATAAGCAAATAATCTAAAGGGAAAAAAGTAGACTGAAGACTTGAACAGATACTTCACCAGAGAAGATATATGGAGAATCAATAAGTAATCAACATTATGAGTCATCAGGTAACTGCACATTAAAATCATAATAAAATACCACCACACACCTACCTAAATGGCTAAAATGAAAAAGACTGACAATATCAAGTGCTGGGAAGGATGTAGGACAAATGGCACTCTCACATGTTGGTGGTGGTAACAAAAATATGATACAACCACTCGGAAAATGGTTTGATAACTTTTTTTAATATTCTTTAATTTTTTAATTGATTTTTAGAGAAAGAAGAAAGGAGAGAGAAAGAGAAAGAAACATCAATTTGTTGTTCCACTTATTTACACATTCATTGGTTTAATCTTGTATCTGCCCTGACCGAGGACCAGACCTGCAACCTTGGCCTATTGGGACAACACTCCAACCAACTGAATTACTAGGTCAGAGCTTTGATAGCTTCTTATAATTAAACATGCACTTGACATACAATCCAGAATGCCACTCCTATGCATTTACCCAAGAGAAATTAACATATGTCCACACAAAGACTTGTCCATGAATGTCCATAGCAGCTTTATTCATAATAGCCCCAAACTGCAAATAATCCAGTGGATCATCAACAGGTAAATAGGTAACCAAATTATTATATATCTACGCAATGAAATACCCAGAAACAAAAAGGAACAAACTACATATGCATGCAACATGGATGAATCTCCAGAGGTATGTATGTATAAAAGAGTACATACTATTTGACTCCATTTATATACAATTCTAGAAAATTTAAATTAATCTACAGGGGCAGAGAGTAAACCAGTGATTGCTGGGGATGGAGGTGGAGGGTACACCAAATGACTGCAAAGGGGCACTTAGGGAACACTCATTGAACTGTATACTTTAAATAAGTGCATTTTATTGTATATAAATTACACCTCAGTGTACTGTGAGAGATACTATATATACCACATACAGTGCTAAAGACACGTGGAACACACAGATGATAAAATATTACTGTTCCCTAGTTTTGCAATTGCAAATAATATCTTCAGTGCTTTCAGTAAAGAGAGAGTTGTTGTTACTATTTTTTACGCTGCCCTCTCCTACTTCACCTATCCAATATGCACTTACTGAGCTCCTACTGTGTGCTAGACGTTTAGCTCAATGTTAGGAGTACAGAGACAGTCAGACAACCTTCACAAGGTACCTGACCTCACAGAACCACAAGGCCAACTGCAAACCGTGATGACAACTTCTGTGATGAAACAATATACAGAATTTTAAAGGGCATTTGCGTGGTTGGCAATGATTTCCTGGAGCAAGTAACATCTAAGCTCCTATCTAAAGAGTGAGTTTTAGTTAACCCAAACACAGCTGTCAACTCAGAAATGCTCCCTTTCAGGGACTTCCAGTATGTTCACATATACTTTTTCAGACTAATGCTTCCCCAACTAATCAGTGTCTTAAAACAGGTGCCATTTACCCTTGTATTTAGTTTAATACCAGAAACACGTATGTGTGTGAACCAAAATCTTGGTATGTTTTATGACTGACACTCTTACCCAACTTTGTACATTATAGCTTGTTATACTATTTATAGCTTATATTTTAAACCTCATTTTATGTAGTTTTAATTATAGATTTATAAATTATTTATTGGAAAATAATCTGATACAATTAATTTCATTGTCAAATCAGGGAAAAGAGGGAAAGCAATAGTCTATGTATAAGATATGGTAAAAACTAATGTTTTTAAATCTATCTCTTCCTCTAAAAGAGAGTAGGGGTAGTTCTTAATGCAGAATGTTACCCACACCCTAAGGTGTTTGGAAATATGAGGGATGGTTTTGTGGTAATTATGATGATGGGAGAACTATTTGCATTCAGAGGTGAGGGCCAGAGATGCTAAATGCCCTGCAATGCTCAGGACAATCCCCCATATACAAAAGTTACTCCTCTCCCAATGCTAATAGCATCCCCTTTGAGAAATACCATTAGGTGGTCTCCAGTGGTCTTTCCAACTCCGGATGTTTGTTAGTGAGTCCTATTTATTCATTTGAACCAGCATTGCTTCACTTTAGTATTTTAAATGTCAATTTTATGTTTTATTTTTATTCATGAATTTTTTTTAGAGAGAGAGAGAGATATCAGTTTGTTGTCCCATGTATTCATGCTTTCATTGGTTGATTCCTGTATGTGCCCTGACCAGGGATCAAACCTGCAACCTTGGCATATCTGGACAGTGTTCCAGCCAACTGAGCTACTCAGCCAGGGCCTTAAATGTCAATCTTAATAAGCAGACAATATCCGCCAACTAGGTATCTGTGATGATAAATTTTATGTGTTAACTTTGCTGGGTCACAGTGATAAGATGTATGGGCAAACATTCTGGGTGTTTATGTGAAGGTGTTTTGGGTAAAATCAGCATTTAAATCAGTAGATGTTTAGTGAAGCAGATTGCCCTCCATGATATGTCTGGGCCTTATTCAATCAATGGAAGATCTTAATAGAATAAAAGATCGATCTTCCCTAAGAAAGAGAAATTCTGCCAGCAGCATTTGCCTTTAAATTTGAACTGTATGTTTTCATTCCAGCCTCTATAATTGAGTGAACCAATTCTTTAAAATAAATCTATCTAACCATACACCCTATTTGTTCTGTTTCTCCAGAGAACCCTGACTAGTACAGTAACCTTATTCTTGGCCCTAAGATTAGAAAACATGGGGTGCAGAAATGCAGTTAATGCATGTTATTACATTTACCCTGGATAAGGATTGCCATGATCTCATTAAGTGCACAACTTAAATTTTAAACGTGTCATGTACCTGAGTTTTACCATGCCACTGAGTGTTTTGCTGAGCCTGTTGTCCTCTGCACTTTTATTTTTAAATATATTTTTAGTTTTTCTTTCTTTATTTTTTCTTTTTCTTTTTTTCTTCTTTTTTCCTTTGCACTTTTAAGCTCATGTGCAATATAAAGAGCATAATCCATATGCTTCTGATTCATTTGCACTTCATTTACACAAAAATCCTCAAGATTTTTCAGTTATCACTCTGAGCCTTATCGATGCTTGAGCTAGCTTTATTAAGTCTTTGTTCCAAAAAAGAAAAGTCACTTTTGCTCTCTTAAAGAAATGAAATAAAGTAGGAATCCAAGCTAAAGTGAATTTAAAATACATGATTTCTAATTTAGTTCTTTACTCCCTTTTTCAAGCACATTTACTTTTACTTATTGCATCTTTATTTTGGGGAAAAAATGATCCGAAATCTACTCTAAGTTCTCTCTCAGATACACACACACACACACACACACAAACACACACTCACAGAGTCTTCAAACTTTCGTTTGAAGCAGGAAGTAATTTTTGTAAAAAATATATTAACTATATTTATTTTCTTGCCTTGGCTGTATGTAACCAAGGTTACATTGTGGTGAATTAGGGTCAAGGTCAGTAGATCAAAATGCAACTTTTTGGGGGATTGTGTTTGTGTGTGTGTTTATTTCCCTGTAAGTGCCTCATGTTGCTTTGCAAAGTCCGTGTAATTTAGTACATGTGATCACCCTTTCAACACAAAGATTTCCCTAATGTGGCCTTATTCCAGCAAAAACAGTGCCATCTGATCCAACGCACTAATGCTCCTGAGACACCATGCAATAACAAACCAATATGAACCCTGGGAAAAAGGAAAACCAAATATTGACAAAGAAATTAAAGTGCAGTTTTGCACTCTTAAGGGGCTGACCTCACAGCTCTAGGTTAAACTTAAGATCTCAGTACTTTCTGAGCACTGACTTTTAACTATATATAGGAGTAAACTTCTTATAGTTGAATAACAATCTGTCAAATACTAATTTAAAGATTATAATAAAAAACCCTCCTATTTCTCTGGCTTTGATAACTACAGTTTTATTTCAGAATTGGGCATTTACTAATAATATTCCAGCCTCTAAGATAATAACAGTTAATTAACCTGGCAATAATTGTAGTCTACTTTTTTCAGAGAAATAAGAACATAGTGTGAACCATGCATGAGACAAAACTTTGCCTTCAAACAACAATATACTTAATACTTGAAATCAAATTTAGATACAGAGGTGTTCTTTTGAGGGAATGAATGAAAATGGGCTATTTAAAATAAATTTATTTATCTGATTTCTTTTAAAATTATAATAACTTTTTTTCTCAACCCCAAAGTGATATATTACAAAAAATACAGAGAAGCAGAAAAGAAAGAAAGAATATATTCACAGCCCTAGCTAGGGAGCTCAGTTTGTTGGAGCTTCATCCAGATACTCCAGGGTGGTGGGTTCCACCCCTAGTGGGGCACACACAGGAACCAATCCAAGGATGCACGGACAAGTGGAACAACAAATTGGTTTCTCTTTTTCCCCCACCTGGCCCCATCCCCTCTCTCTCTCTCTAAGGTTTAAAAAGGAAAAAGAAAAAAGAATATACTCAGGTTCACTCACCCAGAGACACATATGTTAACAACACATTTTGAAGCCATATGGTTCAGGAGTGAAGAGCTCAGGTCCCAGAATCAGACTGTGTGCATTCAGAACTAGCTCCACAACTTACCACCTCTGTGAATTTGAACTTGTAATTTAACCTCTCTGTTTCAGCTCTCTCATCTGTAAAACAGACGTCCAAGGATGTTGTGAAGATTAAGTTAGATAAATTGATCAATGAGCCTAGCATAGAGCAACTCTTCAGTGACTGTTAACTCTTGTCAGTTCAACTTCCCAGATCCTTATTAGTGTTTTCAAGTAGAAACGTTGCTAGTTTTGATTTACACTTGAAAAGAGCACTGAGAGTCTTAGAAAACAGTCACATAATCAAAATGTTTTTTCTTATTTTTTAAAATACCGTGTAAGATGAAAATCATGGATAAAATATCCCTAAAATCGAGACTGGAGCCCTAGCTTGTGTGGATCAGTGGGTTGAGCACCGAAGTGTGAATCAAAAGGTCACTGGTTCAATTCCCAGCCAGGGTACATGCCTGGGTTGCAGACCAGGTCCCTGGTGGGGGGTGCACAAGAGGCAACCACACATTGATGTTTCTCTACCTCTCTCCCCCTCCCTTCTCCTCTCTTTAAAAAATAAGATCTTTTAAAAAAAAATATCAAGACTGGTGATTTTAAAGCAAGAACTAGCTTTTATTCTAAAAATCAAAATAAATTTATCATTCAATAATTTTTTACACACTGTGGAAGAAAAGGGGCCACGTACTAAAACCTGACAAGCTCAGGGGAGGCCTCCGTGGTGGCCTTATGAACTCAGAAACCCAAACCAAAGTAAGCACATAGGATGTTCAGAAATCAAAACTTTCTAACTAAAAGCAGGTCATGGCAGATAGTCATGTCCAAGGTCATTTTTCTCTAACAAAGATCAGTCTTTCCCTTAACTGAGCCCATCTATGATAACATACCTTTGGAATGTCAAATTTCCTTTTTCTGGACCCCTCAACGCACAGGCACCACACCTGGGGGAGGCTACGGATCCCTTTACTGTTATTGTTGTCATGTTCATTGTTGACTATTACTATCCTGTACACACCTAGGTAAAAGATGTGTCTATCATTTTACTTTTTATCCAGTCCTAGAGGTTGGCTTTCTCCTGCCTCCCTAATCTATCACCAAAGGATTTTATGTAATCCCCTTATGCCTCCTCTTTTTTTTTTTTTTTTTTTAAGATTTTATTTATTTATCTTTAGAGGGGAAGGGGAGGAGAGAGGGAGAGAAACATCAATGTATGGTTGCCTTTCGTGCGTCCCCTGCTGGGAACTGGCCTACAGGGAACTGGCCTGCAACCCAGACATGTGCCCTGACTGGGAATCGATCCGCGATCATGTGCTTCGCAGGCCCGCGCTCAATCCACTGAGCTACACCAGCCAGGGCATGCCTCCTCTTTTGATGGTAATGTATAAAATAAGGTGAAAACATGCTATTTTCTGGAGCATTATCTGACACCAGCCCACAGTGTCTGCAGCATTATGGATGAGATACGAGACAAATTCACGTGGACTACCGAGTCCTGTGGAGGAAAAGGGAGGTGAGGCCACTCTCTCAAGGGGAAATCGAGCCAACTCTTGCCTTGACAAGATTTTATTGGGTTCAATTTGCACAGGAATACAGGTAAAACTCATTAATCATTGTCAGGCAGTAGGGATCAAACAATACATAGCATACAAAGAACTACAAGGGCTTATTCTGAGCCAGGATCTGTTAGCTAAAGGGCTACAAAACTTTGGGGAACAAACTCATTTCCTGTTCAAATTCTTATCATTTAATTGAGAGCATTCTAAACAAAGCAGGTTTTATGGGATTTTATGCATTCTTTCTGAAGCCTGATCACCCTAGGGAACCGACCATTTCCCGTATAGGGCTGCACCCACCACTGGCATTGTTTCAGCCTTAAGGCATTGTTTCAGCCTTAAGGCATTGTTTCAGGCTTAAGTCAGACAGGGCAAGTAAGGCAGCCAACAGATTAGGGTACTTCTTGAAGACAGAATGAATACTCAGGCTATGTCAAAGCTGAGGGGCAAAGGTCCATCATCCCCTTTTTCTATAGCCCCCAAGTCATTCCCTGGGGCCCCCCATGATCATGCCTATCTTAGGTCGTCCCTCTCTTGAGGAATCTTACCCATCATTGGCTAACCAATCAAGCTTTGGGAGCCAGGGAGGGTGAAGTAAAAGGAGCGAAGGCAGTGTGCCCCTGCCAGGGAGATAAGCTTTGTCTCCTTAGTGGCTATGGTCTGAAGTTCACTCACTCAGCCTTAGCCATGGGGGAGTTACAGTTTTTGAAACCAGGCAGGGCACTTCCCAACAATTACCTCAACTTATTGAGGTTTTGCTTCCTGGCAATTTGCTTTCTGATGATAATATCAGTCTAGCTCAAATAAACTCATGGAAATTCTTACAGGTTTGGACAGTTCTTACATTGACCTACTACATTATGGGGGCTTTCTGAGCAATAGTTCCTGCATCGACAAAGTGTGGATAATATGGTATGAGCTACAGAGTTATTGAGAGGATAAAATGACATGCTGCATGGAAAGCACTTTGCACAGGAATGGACACGTGGAAAATATTCAATAAAATATACTTTATGGATAATCTTTGCATTCATTGTGACTCTGAGCAATCTTATGTCCAGGATGGAATCCATTATACAGCCTTGCTTTTACTCTTAGTGGTTTATCTACTTTGATAGCAAGAGCACTTTCTCTTTTTTTAAAGCTTTTTGTCCATTATTTAGTGACTTTATAAGGCAGCTAGAACTATTCCTTTTGTAACCAGAAAAGCTGGTGTTTGTGCTGCCTGTCATCTATCAGACACAATAAGCAGTGACAAGGGTGGAATCTTTGTAAGTACTTTATTCAGATGCCCAGTGATCTGAGAAGATGGTGGATTTGTACCCTAACAGACTGTCTTAAATTTTCATTTTAAAATAGCCCTTTTCATAAGGAGAACAAAGTGTAGATAAGGGGTTTGGAATTCAGAGAAAGTTAATTGGATGAAAAAACCACAGCGTTCTTTCTCTGGGTGGTGGTCTTTAGCTGTGTCCTGAGTGGTGGGCATCTCCCTCTGGAGCACCATGGCTCAGACACCATGTTGAATTGCTTGCAGTCCTCGTGGGGCACAAAGTGGAACTGCCTGTGGACTCCTGGAGTCAGGATGGGACATACCTTCAGTTCCTGGAACAATAGCTTTTACATACTTTTTTTAAATTTATTTTTTACTAAGCTTAGAGCTATTAAACTAAAACTTTCTAACTTTCTGTCCTCCATTAATTTGATTTAGCTCTGTCTTCCCTTCCAGATTACAAGTTACTAGAGGAGAGGCATGCTGTTTTCATTATTTTTTAAAGTTTTATTTTATTGTCATTCAAGAGAGAGGGGAAGGGGGGAGAGAGAAAAAGAGAGAGAGAGCGAAACATCCATGTAAGAGAGAAACACCAATTGGCTGCCTCCTGCATGCACCCCAACCAGGATCAAGCCTGCAACCTGGGCACGTGCCCTGACCGGGAATTGAACTGGTGACATTCCAGTTACACACGATGACAATCCAAGCAACTGAGCCATGCCAGCCAGAGCTCATTATTAAATTCTTTTTTAACCCTCAGCACCTAGAAAGCGCCTGGCACATACTACATAGTACATAAGAAATGTTTATTGAGTAGACAAATTCATAAGACATTTCTTATTTTGTCATCTAAACAAATGGTTCTCTAAGTGTGAACCTTAAATCAGCAACATGGGCATCACCTTGAATTTGTTCAAAATGCACATGCAACCTAGTATATCTGGGTATAAGGCACAGCAAACTATGTATGATCTACTGAGCTATTCACACGATTCTTATGCCTGTTACACTTTGAGAACCACTGATCGAGACAGTATTAACACCATTTTCTAAATCCAAAAAACACTACACTGAACAAAAGAAGCCAGAGATAAAAGAGCACAAGTGAATTATTCAAGACCAGAATAGTGGGAATGGCCAGTAGTTCACTTGGTTAGAGAGTCCCCCCAATACGCCAAAGCTGAGGGTTCAGTCCCAGTCAAGGCACATCTAAGAGTCAACCAATGAATGCATAAATAAGTGGAACAACAAATTGATGTTTTTCTCTCTCTTTCTAAAATCAATCACTCAATCAGTCAGTCAACACGAAACCAGACTAGTGGTTGTTTAGGTTGGGGAGAGGTCTGAACAGAAAAAAGCATGAGGGACATTTCTAAAGTATTGGAAAGTTTTATCTAAACCTTGATGGGATGTAGATTAGGGTGTATACCTATGTCAAAACGTATCAAAATGTATACTTAAGATCTGTGCATTTCACTATATGTAATAAAATACCAACAAAAAATAAAATAAAATAAATTAATGCCATTCTAATTATTTCTATATAAGTTTTATCAGCAAAAGGGATATTTTTGCATAACAATCTTAAAATGGCCCACAAGGTGCTACCTGACCTAATCCCGACTTACTTTCCTAGTATCACCTGTTACCAAGCCTCTGTCCCTTTGTATACCTTCACCAGCCCGAAGCCTGCAGTTTCCCAATGATACACATTCCTGTCCTGCTATAAGACCTTTGCTCGTGCTGTTTCTGCTCCCTAGAATGCTTCTCTTTCTTTCTCTTCACTTTAACTCCCATTCTTTTTTTTCAGTTCTAATTCTTCTGTTTGTTCCTCAAGGAAACCCTCCCAAATCTCACTTTATTATCTGTGTCCACGGAACCTTTTGTAGGGCTACTGTGTATGCTTGTGCAGAGGTTGCCTCTAAACAAGGGTTCCCAGCTGAGATGACAACAGCTGAAATCCAGTGTGTGCTCCACTCACAAAGTCTTGTACACAGAGCAGGGCTGAGCCAACCTGGAAGAAGGGCGGCCTGGTTCTGATTCATCAAAGGCATAGTCTACTTGCCAAATGCTGCTATTCTCGGTTGTTTCTGTCTTTGGGGACACTTTTTATTTTTTTATTTTTAAATTACTTATTGATTGATTGATTTTTAGAAAAGAGAGGAATGGGGGAGAGAGAAAGAGACAGAGGTAGAGAGAGACATTGATTTGTTGTTCCACTTATTTCTGCATTAATTAGTGTTTCTTGTATGTGCCCTGACCAGGGGTCAAACCGGCAACCTTGGCACATCAGAACAATGCTCTTACTGAGCTACCCAATCAGGGCATGCAGACACCTTTTAAAAATAGCACAAAGATACAATTTTGGCAAGCAATAGACCTGACCTTGTACTTCCCCTTCACAGTACTTATTACAATTGTAATTTTACCTATATTTATGTGATTGGTTAATGTTTGTTTCCCCCACTTAGACGGTAAGCTCTATGAGAGTAGGAGTCTGGTTTTGCTTATTATCAAGAATGCCCAGCTCCTAAAACAGTGCCTGGTACATAGTGGGTATTCAGTAAACATTTATTAAATGCATTAGACTTTTAAAAAAAGTTATTGATTCATTACAGAGAGGGAGAGGGAGAGAGAATCATTGATTTGTTGTCCCACTTATTTATGCATTGACTGGTTGATTCTTGTGTGTGCCCTGACAGGGAGTGGAATTTACAACCTTGTTAAATCTGGACGATGCTCTAACCAACTGAACTACCGGGCCAGGGCCTGCATGAGACTTTTTTTTTTTTTTTTTTTAAAGAGAGGGGAAGGGAAAGAGAAAGAGGAGGAGAGAAACATCAATGTGCAGGAGAACATCAATGGGTTGCTTTTCGCAGGCCCCCAACCGGGGACCTGCCCCGCAACCCAGATATGTGTCCTGACTAAGAATCAAACTGGTGACCTTTCAGTTTGTGGGATGACACCCAACCTGCTAAGCCACACCAGTCAGGGCAAGACATTTTTTAATGGTAGGAAAATATTAGGCTTTTTGAAGGTACAGACTATGTCTAATTTTCCCTTTTTATCTCCTCCTCCCCTTTGCAATTACCATACTGCTTTGCACATAAATGGCATTCAGTAAATTCCTCCTGATTGATTTAAAAATGTTCAAAGAAGCCATATGATGTTCCGTTCATACAAAACTGGATCTGGAAGCATATGATTACACACTGCATGAGTGATGATGAACAGCTGCTATTTATAAAGCCAAAAAGACAAAAAATGTTGAATGGATGAGAAATAGACTTCAATTGAAATGGGAAGGATTTAATTTAGCTTTTAAAACTCATTTCCTGACATGAAGCTTATAAGACTCTAGAAGATAATACCAAGGGAGGCTGGGAATTTTCCTTTCCTTTATAAATAAATGATCTTCAAAAAGTTTCCAAGATAGAACAACCATTTATTTGAAGGCTAAAGGGTATTCCTGACTAGGGTTCTCAACACTCTAATAGGAGATCGATTTAAAAAAATTTTTTGTTGTTTTTTTAAAGATTTTATTTATTTATTTTTTAGAGAGGGGAAGGGAGGGAGAAATAGAGGGAGAGAAACATCACTGTGTGGTTGCCTATCACACTCCCCCTACTGGGGCCCTGGCCTGCAACACAGGCATGTGCCCTAGACTGAGAATCAAACCCACAACACTTTGATCCCCAGGCTGGCACTCAGCCACTGAGCCACACCAGCCAGGAGGAAGGGGAATAATTTTACAGAAAAGTTGCAAAAATAGTAAAGAGACTTTACTATTAGTCTATACCTCCCACCTAATTCCCCTTTGTTAACATCTTACTTTATCATGGTACATTTGTCAAAATGAAGAAATTGAAATATACATAACTATTAACTAAACAGTGGACTTTATTTGGATTTCCCCAGTTTCTCCAATTATGTCCCCTTTCTATCCCAAATGAGATTTTTAAAATTTCAACAGTGTATGAAAAACAAACAGGAACAACAACAATAAAAATAAAGGACAAAAAAAATGAAAAATAAAAAGAAACCCAAAAAAGTAAAACAAGAAAAAAGGTCTATGAAAGATTATGTCTTTCATACACATTTGGTCTAAACTCAGAGGAGAATTACATAAATCTAGAGCTGACTGAATCCTTCATCTCAAGGTAGAAGTACAATATGTTGACTTTCCAAGAAAATTAAAATAACATCCCTAGCTCTGTCACTTTAAAGAGCTGTGTGTCTTTGAACTGTTTAATTACACTTAGCCTTGCTTCTGACATCTGTAAAATCAGGATGGTAAGACTTCTCCCACTGTGATGGCTCCTCAAATCCTTCACAGTAGAATTCAATGTTAAAAACTTAAGATTTTAAATAGGCAATTAGGCTTTTATAATTATTAAATTAATACCACAATGATAACCCTCTAAATTAAAAACCTGTGGTATTTTATATGTTAAATTAGTGACAAAGGCCCTGGCTTGTGTGGCTCAGTGGATCGAGTGCTGGCCTGCAAATCAAAAGGTCACCAGTTTGATTCCCAGTCAGGGCATATGCCTGGGTTGCAGGCAAGGCCGCCAGTAGGGGGTGCACAAGAGGCAACCACCCAATAATGTTTCTCTCCCTTTCTTTCTCCATCCTTTCTCCTCTGTCTAAAAATAAATGCAAAAATCTTTTTAAAAATTAGTTACAAAGTTGAACAATTTAAACAAACAAACAAATAAATAAACAAATTTACTGACAAAAACTGTCCTTGAAAAAACTTTAGTCAGACTCCCTTGAGTCCTCTTCTACAGGAGGCTTTGTCCTTGGGTCTTTGGTGCGCCTGGTCAAGTTGTAGCAAGAATTCTGCTAAGTCAGAGAGAATCCTCTATCCTTGATATCTGATCACCCTGGCTATTTGATCCAATTCCTTATGTCCCACCCTCAATATATGTCATGACCCTGGCAAGTTAGTTGAGGAAGAATTCCTCCCATCCTTGATGTCTCCAGTAGGAGACACCCCTCCAGCTAACCCCCCCATCCCACCCCATAGGAGTGTAAAGACTTCCCTTTGCCATCCCTGGTTTGATAGCTGGGTCTATGAAATAAACCAACAACAGGCAGATTAACAGGAGAGAAGGTATACAAATTTATTAATTTTTAATATTACATACATAGGGGCATCATAGGAGAAAAAAGTGAATACCCCCAAAAGCAGTGAGATTTGAGAGCTTATACCAACTCCACAGGGGAGGCGGAGAGGGGATATATGCCACAAAGGGAGAATAAACATTTTGGAAAGATGAATGGGCCCTTAGAATAGATAGAAAATATAACAGTCACAAACCATTGTATTTTGGATATGGTATGGACTTCTCATTTTCTGTGACAAAAGTCAGTCTTCCCTAGTTGATGAAACTCCTGGGAAGAGGATTAATGACAGTTGAATTTCTTTTGGAGGATCTGTCTTTAAGCAGATAAGGGGAGTTTATAGAAAACCTGTTTTGCAAGTGCCTTCAGCTCAAAACAATTAATATACCAAAGCAGCGTATTGTGGACGGCATGTCCTAAACTCCTTCACTCCCACTCTGCTCCTCGATTATAATCCCTTCCTGAACTTGCTGTATTCGGAGTTGAGCCCTAGCTCTCTCCTAAGGCAATAGTCCTGACACCTATTACAATTGCCTCGAATAAAGTTCCTCACTGTTTTTAACAAGTCTCAGAATAATTTTTAATATTAGTAATAATAAATGTTAACTAATTTCTATTTATTATCCCTGACTCATCAGAAAAATTTCAAAATATTCTTCCAAGTTTTAAAAAAGTCTTTAAAAATATTTTTGCTTTGTATGAATAACATACATGCTGAAAGGCATTACTCTTCCATGTGTCTTTTGCCCAAATGTTTAGCACTTTTCTAATTTTATGACTAGTAGTTCACTCCTACTTCTTAGCTCCCACTGATCCAAGACATGTAGATTAATTTGGTTTGGAAATACTTTAGCTGATTATCCTTTATTTGTACAGCTATATCTCACAAATATGCTTCTCAACAGAAAAGGGGAGAATGTTTATCTCTGCCCATGAAAATGTCATAGGAAAACAGATTCTTACTGAGAACAGTGGCTGACTCTGTAAGAGTCTCATCTATCACCAGCTGAAGAATGCTTAGCAATGCCTGGCACATTAGAACAATTCAACAAATAACTGCAACTAATAATATTTTTTTGCCCTGGCTGGTGAGGTTCAGTGGATTGAGTGCTCACCTACGAACCAAAAGGTCATGGGTTCAACTCCTGGTGAGGGCACAAGTGGTTGGGTTGTGGACAAGGTCCCTGTTTGGGGGTATGTGAGAGGCAACCATATATCTCTTGCACATTGCTGTTTCTCTCTTTCTTTCTCCCTTCCTCTATCTCTAAAAGTAAATAAACAAAATCTTTAAAAATAATTGTAATTTTAGCTTCCTTATTCTTCTTGAGTCTTCGTTGCAAAAGCTTGTTCTGTCCTGCCTTTGTTTTACATTTTCTCATTCCCAACTGAGTTCTTTCTTATCTCCAAAAGAGTGACTAGCATTCTGGAGATAATGAAAGAGATAATGATATTTCGTGTGTTAAGGCATCACGCAAAAGTAATTCTGTACAGTAGAATACAGGGGCAATATATACTGGTTATCCATTGGACAGTGTAATGAGGTCTAAAAGAGAAAATATTTATATCAAGTAGTTGCTCACGAAAGTTTAGGTTCCTTCCTATCCCATTTTTACTAATGAGGACAACGAGTCCCGGGCCCCCATCCCCAAATAAGTAGTTGTAACCAAATTCTAAAGAAAAAAGAAAGAGGGTCTCTGTGTAGTCATCACTGTTTTTCTTTTCCTGTTGCTCATTCGGTTTTGTGGCTTAATGACCCATGTAACAAATCCACCGGGCTCACCAATGTTTTGGGCTTCTGTCAAGTACCTAAACATGGTTAACATTTACAGAGATAAACATTTTGGTGAAGTTTAATAGTTTCGTTGCCTTACCCTAAAATTTTATTGTACCCGGTGTGCCAAAAAATCTTGTCCATCGTTTAAGTTTCATACGAAGCTGCAGATGACCATTGGTTTTGGGGCACTGGCGTTGTTCAGAGCCTTGATAATGCTTTAACAGCAAAAAAAAAAAAAAAAAAAATAGCACTTTGGGCTATAAATCATAGAGCATCTAGAATCATTACTTTAGGATATTCCTACTTTAAACCTTACTCAATACTGGCATCAACTGGATGAGGATAATCATTCATTGCAATAAATATTCATCAAGAATTTTGGATGCGTCCATAGAATATAATTTGGTAGCACTTGAAAGTGCTATCCAACCTGAGCTACTGATACCAGATGAAGACTACCTAGTTCTGCAAACAAGACTTCGAGGAGGAGGAGGAGCTTGAGGGAGGCGGGTCCGGGTAACCCAGCGCGAGAATACACCCAGGCGCATGCGTACTTTTTAGGTGGTAACTTCCATTTGCTAGTGGGGGAGGTAAGTGAAAAGCAGTCTACAATTTTTGAATTTCTGGTCTTAACCAGAAATTAAATTGTAAACAGTACTGCCGGTAACTTGAGAGCTTTATCCTCCGAGTTCAAAACTAAGGACATTTGGCATACACCGTTAATTCAAAAGATTACTTCTCGTATCTTCCCCGTCCCCTGGGACATAGGTGGTCTAGTCCATTCCACAGACTTTCGAGTCCTTGCAGCGGGTCGTTGATCGAAGGATTGGGCTAATTGCGACTGAAACGTCTTTGGAAGGAGGAAGGGGCTCACCTTCGAGTTCCGCCTCTTGTTTTTCAAGGCGATTGTGGGGAAGGGGGACGTAGAAAATACTGTCCTCGACAGCCAACGGATCACACCTCTCCGTGCAAACTGCCCGGAGGGCGGCGGGAAAAGGGCAAGACGGGAGTAAGAAGAGGAAAGGAGCCAGGAAGCCGCGCAGAAGGGCGCGCGCGCGCGCCCCTTTTTCAGCAGTGTGGCGGGGTCGCACGCACGCCCGCCTCGGCGGCTGGGCGCAGTTTGCGACAGTGGGGGAAGCGGTGGAGGTGGCGGCGGCAGTGGCAACTTTGCGGCAAGCTCCGGCCGGGCTTGCTTGACGGCGGTGTGGCGGAGGCCCCGCCCTAGGCGGCAGGAACCTGGAGGGAGGCGGAGGAATATGTCCGAGAGGGAAGTGTCTACAACCCCGGCGGGAACAGACATGCCTGCGGCCAAGAAGCAAAAGCTGAGCAGCGACGAGAACAGCAACCCAGACCTTTCTGGAGACGAGAATGTGAGTGGATCCCGGAGCAGTCCAGTCGGGAGGATGTAGTGAAAGTTTTCAATTCTTTTTAAACTGTAGGAGCGGGGGCGGGCGCGCGGGCTGTTGTGGGGGGAGGGAGAGGTGTCACGCTCAGGAAAACGCGGGCGTGGAAGAGAAAATCGAACTTGTTTCTATGGGGATTTTGAGCTGGGGCAGATACCAAGCAGAAACTTGACGGAGTGTGGCTTAAGAGATAGCGCTGAGAGTCTGAGGGTTTGCTCAGATCCTTTTGCGTGGATGGGGCGTGTTTGGGCCTTTGGGAGATTTGGGGAGAGTGCGGAGCTGAGATCCTAGTTGTTTAAAAGGAAGGCAAGTTAGAGGTTTTTCTAAGAAAGTTGTAAGGAGAGGTCAGCGTGTGATACGGACCTTTTTAAAGGAATTTAGAGACCGTGTCACTCCTAGACTCATACAGACAGCTGGATGGGAAGAGTAGATCTTAACTTACGGGTGTTTGGTGACTCTTAAAAGGGGGGTTTGTGTCTGCTCCTCCCCTGTCCGTAGAGATGGGGCTTGCTGGACAGTCAGCTTTTCTTAAGGAGGAGCAGAACTGAAAGGGTCATCTTCTGACTTGAAGGGGAAAACCACCCTTGAGGAAGGGGAAAACCACCCTTGAGGAAGGAATGAGAAGGGACAGTTAATCTTTTGTAAGTTTTTATTAAGATAAAGAGGACATCCTGGAAGATTTTAGGTTGGTAAAGGTAGGTGTGGGCTCATGGCCTCGCAAGTGTATTCTGTTTTGGAATTACATTAACAAAACAGCTGTGCAATGGATCTACTCTCAACTGTGTTTAGATGAGATGCCAGTAGTAACTGAACTGACCATTAATTTTCAGCTTCTTGTTTCAATATATCCAATAAGGTCAGCAAAGTGTCTTGACAGCCCATTCAAAGACAGTACTCTAAAACGCAAATCCCTTTTCATGCTTATATGGCAATAACATCTGAACTTCTTTCAAAAAACCTTTCAAGTGCTATAGAAGAGTGGTTGTGAGTTCTTCATTTTCTCACATTGGTTGGTTTTAGGAATAAATATATCATCTTACACATCCAGTTCTTAAGTTCTACACCTTCCTATATCACTGATTGAAGCATATATATGTGACCAAAATTTTCACTGAAGAGGTGGGGAAACTCGTTGTAAGTAGAAGAAAGATATTTAGGGGATTGTCAGTTTGGAATTTAGACATGAAATTTCTGGAAAGCTTAGTTGTTGAATGGTACTTTAAATCTTTTTCTGTTTGTTCTTCCCAATCTCATTACGTATATACTGTATGAAGAACATTTTTTACTTTTTCATTCCAGTCCTTAGACTGTGTTTTATTTCTGCCTTTTCTTAAATTTCTTTAGGCAGGTTAGGTTAGTAATAGGGGCACAGAATGGCTCCAAAGGGTAGGTTAAAAATCTTCACTCTACTACCTACTGGATGCTTGACCTTGAGCAAGGCTAGTTGCCTCAGTTTCTTATGTTTAAGAATGGAGATAATAATGGTGTTTACCTTCAGGAGCATTTGTTAAGTGTACATGCTTGAAAGAAGCTTGCCTCATAGTAAATACGGTTTCAGTGTTATTTAATTACTATTACTTATTTCATGATCACATAGTGTAAATTTATGTTTCTGAACCTTTCGTATACTAAATAATGCGGAAACGTAATGAAAATACCAATAATCTAAACTGAGGAAAATTTCAGGAGACCAAATAAGTTGAAAGCCTTCTTTCATTTTGCAGACTCTTAGGGAATATATTTGCACATAAAGCTATTCACAGCCAAATGATTGGGTTAAGCCATTGTTTTGGTCCCTCCATCCTGACGGGGACTTGAACCTTTTTTGTTTTCTTGGACACCTTAATCCTGTGAGGCCATCTTAGAATATCATTTTTTAATGTATAAAATACAGTGAAAAGGTTACAAACAAAATCAGTGATAAAAATTATAAAATATTATAATAATGTTGAGATTTGTTTTAATAAACTATTTAATTTTTTAAATTTATAAGTAATTTTTTAAATCAAATCAAAACATAAACACTTTTTTCTGTCACAACTACTCTTAGCCTTATTCTGTCTACCACACCTCTGGTTTTGCTGGGTTTCTCACTTATTTTTTTTTAATTGAGTTTATCGGGGTAACATTGGTTAATAAAACCATACGGGTTTCAAGTGTACAACTCAAATATCTCCATACTTCATTGTGAGACCATTGCCCAAAGCGAAATCTCTTTTTGTTCCCCTTTATCCCCCCTTTGCTCTCCCTACACCCCTCTGTCTTCCCTCTGGCTGTCACCACACTGTTATCCGTGTTCATTGTTAAATGTTTTTTGCTTAAGTGCTTCTTTTTTATTTTATTTTTTGATTTAATCTTTATTGTATTTTTCCTACCATTTAATCCCCTTATATCCTCCTCTACCCAGCAGTCACCTTGCTGTTGTCAATGTGCTTAAGTGCTTCTTTATTAGCACATTAAGTAACTAGATGTAGCAGCAGGCCTGAGAGTTATGATGGGCATAAACAATTTTTTGAGGTATACAACAACTATAAATTGATATAACAATGAATACCTAATTTCTATTGGTGAGAATAACACCTACAGTAGCATCAGCATGTATGTTACTTGCCCATAATAGAAGGAAGGACTAAATTTCAGATAAACTTGGTGAAAATTAAAATGCCTCTTTTTGGCCATTTCAATTCACAGGCCCTCTTAATTCATCCATGGACCCCAGATTTAGGACATAGGTTAAGAGAAAGCAGTAAAGGAAGGGAATAGAGAACCCGATAAAAATAAGTTTATAAAAAGCTAACAAGGAGTGGTTTTACTTTTGAGGGAGATGAATGATGACAAGAAGGCCAAAAGCAAGTGGAGAAAGGATGATGTTTTTTAGTTGGAATTAAAGTGGCCTGAGCAGCTGGTACTAAAGATTTTATTTGTTTATTTGTTTGTTTATTTATTTATTTAGTGACAAGGAAGGGAGGGAAAAAGAGGAAGAGAAATATCTATTGATTGCCACTTGCATGCCCCCAGCTGGGGACCTGGCCCAAAACCCAGGCATATGCCATGACTGAGAATCAAACTGGTCACCTTTCAGTTCCCCTGGCCAGCACTCAATTCACTGGGCCACACCAGCCAGGGTCTTTTTTTTTTTTTTTAAGGTTTTATTTATTCATTTTTTAGAGAGAGAGGGAGAGAAACATCCATGTGAGAAACACATCAATCAATCAGTTGCCTCTGGCTCACCCCCAACTGGGGACCTGACCCACAGCCCGGGCATGTGCCCTGACTGAGAATCAAACCTGTGACTTTTTCAGTTCACAGGCCAGCGCTCAACTCACTGAGCCACACCAGCCAGGGCATGCATACTTTTTTTTTTCCCCCATTATGTTTTAGAGAGAGAGGAAGGGAGAAATAGAAAAACATTGGTTTGTTGTTCTGCTTATTTATGCATTCATTGGTTGATTCTTGTGTGTGCCTGAACCTGGAATCAGACCTGCAACCTTGGCATATTAAGGCTTTAACCAACTGAGCTTCCTGGCCAGGGCAACGTGTTAAACATTGTTTTTTAAGATTTTATTTATTTACTTTCGGAGAATGGGAAAAAGGAGGGAGAGAAACATCAACACGTGAAAAATCCATATATCTCTCACACATCGATAGGTTGCTTCTCACACACCCCCAGATGGGGATCGGCGCAACCCAGGCATGTGCCCTGATTGGGAATCAAACTGGTGACCTTTAGGTTCATAGGCTGGCACTCAGTTCACTGAGCCACATCAGCCAGGGCTAAACATCTTACTTTACTAGTGTGAGGGAACTGGCAGGTGTTAAGTCAAACAATACAAATTTATAAGGATTAAAACAATGTTGAGGTGACATTGCAAATGGAGACAAAATCTTTTGTTTCAGAGGAGAAGGGAAGACATTTTGAAACTCTGCTTTAAAGACAGAATTAGCACTACCAGTTATCCACAACTTGAAAAAGATAAAAAGTTATTCAGGGGCAACTAACAGGGCTATAATCTGGTAGCATGGCAGAATGTACTAGAGATAATGCATAGTTTCCCATTGAAACCCAAAATTGTTTTTTGTACTAGATTTTAACTGTATAAATACAACTGAAATGTGGGGGGAAATTGGGAGAGAGGAAAACAGTAATTTCAGCCTAGGAATTGAACTTAAAAGTTTTACTTTTTTATATCTCTGTAAAGGCTGATTATACTTACATTAAAGTACAATTCAAGTTTTTATTGAGCACTTGCTGTGCAATCTCTCCACTTCATTCCTTTCTCTTTCACCCCAGATAATCAGTATATTCCATAATAACTGTATTTAAAACGCATGTTATTTTGGGAGGAACGATTTGCAGTTTTGCAAACCACCCCCAAGAACTACTGTATGATATCTTTTAGCTTTTAAGTGAAATTTTTATGTACTTTTTGGCATTCTGGTTGATTTTATCCTTTACAATATAAAACCAGCTTTAGAAAGCAATAATTTAGAAATATCTCCTAAGGCAGTGGTTCCTAGACTATGTTCTCATAGACATTAATATGCACTCCATG